AGTATATGTAGCTATTTGTGGCATTTCTGTGTTCGTGTGCGATTAATCGTTTATTGTGGTGCCTGCGCTATATATATATATATTGGCTATTTGTGGATAACATTGCTGCTGTTTGATGATGGCGACTTGCACATGCCAGACCACGGTTTGTCAATGACTAGTACTAAAGATTCTAAAAGATCGCACATTCCTTGTGTAGTATCTATTGCCGAGTTATGGCGAGTACACAACGTTCATACACTTTAATCACTTTGCCTTGTTACAATATTCTTATACCACAGGTGTTCACTTTGCTTTCCCATCAATTTGTCCCAAATCACAGATACTCAATTTTGCTACTCAATATTTTTTATCTGATATAACCGTCCTCTCGCTTGCGTTTCTATCGAATTTGTCCCCCCAAGTTGTAGCCATCCACTTGCACAGCCCCATACAATCTGTTCCATATCACAGCTGTCGCGCTTGTTGTCCTAATCATTTTGCACTAATTTACAGGCTTCCGCTGTCACTTTCACTTTCACTTTCCAATCCAATTTGTCCCACATCACAGTTACCCAATTGACTTTCTTACTCAATTTGTTCATACTCAGTCTTCCACGTCCACTTCCACTTCGCAATACAATTTGTCCCATATCACACCTGCAGCCACGCCATCACAACGAGACAGAACGCAGAACAACCGCAACTCACAGGGCGGCCGTACGCGAGAGCGCGTGCGAGATACTCGCAACCGTGACAGATCCGACCGCGACTCCCATTCTAATAATAGAACGACCAATCAGTTCGATGAGAATCTCAGGCCAGCTCCGCAATTCCAGCAGCAACCCATCAAACCCGTGCCCGAGTTGAGCACCCACTACAGACAGGGGTTGGAGCAGCAACTAATGGCTATGAGCGAGCGTCTGGCCCCACTGCCGGAGGCTTTGGCATTGCGCGAAACACTCCTACAGGTACGAGAGTGCATTTTATCGTCCATATTCGTGTGCTCGCCTGTGTGATTCTTTGAGTATGTGTTTGCGTGTCAAGATGTGGGGACGTATTAGTTGTGTGCACGCAAGTTGCCGCTGACGACAAGGCTTGTAGCTACAGCAGATGGCTGAGTGCGCGTCTGGCCCTTCTGCGCGAGGCTTTTGCATTGCAGGAAACGCTCATGCAGGTACGCGAGTGAATTGTATGATGCGCAGCTGTATGGCCTCGCGTGTATGTTTGTGCGTAAGTGTTTATGTTGTGTTGCTTGTGTAAACTTGTTGTTTTGAATTTGTGTATGTAGTAGCTATGTACACACAAGCATCCACTATACACAAGGGGTCTCTAGTGCCTATTTATATCAATATGTGTCTATACAAGAACCACTTCAATTGCACGAATAATGTATATCGGCTATATTGACGAATCACATTCAGATCTTCGTGTATGCACAGACACATACACCCACGCACCCATCAGACTTAAACCATCATACCCAAACTCCAAAGCTCTAACTAGAAACACTAAACCTCGAACCCCCTAAATATCAAGCCCTAAAACCCAGACTCCATATTCCAATTCACAGAGTATCGGCGCTTTAGTTAAGAACGAGTGGGCGGATTCCTATGTACGATTGTACGGCTCGTCGGGTAACCAGTTTGGTATTAGAGGTGCAGATGTGGACATGTGTCTGTTCCACCGCTTGAGCGAAGAGGAGACTAACACAGATGTTATCGTACGCTTGGCTGAGATGCTCGAGGAGCAAGGCCATACTGAGGTTTTGCCCCTTCCTGGCACGCGGGTACCGATTGTGAAGTTCAAGGTGAGTGTGTTGAAGTCGAAGTTTGTTTGCTCAGTGTCGAGAATTTTCCTGTATCATATAGGGGAGTGGTTATATCCGACATGGATTGTGGTGGAGGAATGAGAACACTATGGACGCTTAGTTAGAATCATTTTTTGATTATATTTACAATTTGTGGTATGCCTGTTCCAAACTTGGAATTAAAGATAGGCCTATTGAGATGATTATATATATGTATGTATGGTTTTTGTTGAGGAGAAATTGGGAATATTTACTTTCTTCAGCTTGAATAGAATCTCTCTCGATTTACTGTGTTTTGATATGCTTTACGTTGTCTTGTGAGGTGCATCTCTTCGTTTGTATAATTCAACACCACACCATCGCACACACCAACGATAGGAGAGAGATAGCGGTATGGCCGTGGATATCTGCCTCAACAACTTTTTGGCTGTTAATAACACCGAGTTCCTGCGTACCTACGGCGAAGTGGACGAAACACTGGTGGTTTTGGCTCGGTTTGTCAAGTTTTGGGCCAAGCAGCGCAATATCAATGAGCCTTATCTGGGCACACTGAGCAGCTATGCGTATGTGCTGCTGTGCATATACTACCTGCAAGCGTGTAGTCAACCCCCAATTTTGCCCAATCTCCAGGCCATGTTTTGGACGAAGGTACGTGAGCTATATTGGTCGTCTATAGCTGCGAGGGGGTTTCTTAGTTATCCTGTGGGCTGTCATATAGGGATTAGCCCAACGTTTATTTTGTGTTCCGTTTTGCAGCAAAGTCTAGATTTTAGATATCTTTCTGTTGTATGCCTCGAACTGTTCGGGCTCCATCGCGTGGTCTTCGAATCGTAACCAGTACCAAGTTATTTGAAGATATGTACAAGCGATGTGATGAATAGCCGTATACCCACCATTTGAGGTCCATGTACTTATGGCTTCTTATCCATATGAGGGTAATGATATACACCCAATTTCCCAACCTATTACTTTGTTACTCATCCAAACAGTACTCAAATTATACGTTTCAACTTTTATACAGTACATTGCATTATTATTTAATACATTCCAACCATCAAGTTCTCCATTGCAGCCATATTATTTTTCATTCCAACCTTATGTATTGCTTTCAACCGTTATGTACTGCATTCAACTGTTAAGTATTACATATCAACCTTTATTTTTAGTACTTTCCAAGCAATACGTCATATTCTCACTAGCTCTGTTCGCCACTAATTCAATGTCATACACTGGACAGGACGCACAGGGCCAAGCGCAACTGGCTCAAGCCAGTGATTCCGAGTCGTCGGACGAAGAAGAGGAAGGGGATCCAGACAACTTGGTCGAATACGCGAATAACTCATACCACAACAACCCTAATATACCGCCAAACACGAACACCGCCACCAACCCGGAGATGGATGCCAATACGAACATTGGGGTGAGTGGCAACAACCCGAACCTCGGAGCTATCGGCACCCGAGCCCCCGGGGGCCCTACCAACGGCACCACTACCAATTCCAATACCAGTACGAACAATACTAAAAGCGGACATCACCACCGCCACAGAGGCAAGGAACGCGTCACTGAGGGCGTGCGGTCAAGTGGAAAGCCGTTGGTTCGCATCGATGGATTTGACTGCTATTACTTCAAGGATGTGAATGCGGCCAAGGAGTACACGGCCAAGGTCAAGCGACAGGTGGAAGCCCAGACATTGGGCAGTACGACCAACGAGCTGATTATCGACACGATCATTGGATTCTTCCACCACTTTGCATATAACTTTAACTATCACGAGGTATGTACGTGGGAGGGCAAGAATTTGCGGATGCGTATATCAGCATGAAACTGTACTTATGTAGGTATACATATATGTCTGTGTGTATGCATCAATTATCTATTTATCGCCAGATTTGTGTGCTGGTCAGAAGTTGTGTGTGTCCGTGTTCTTCGTGGTGAAGACATCGTACGAGCTTACTAACGGAGTGTGTATATATGTAGATTGAATCTATTTCTATGCATGACCTGTATACGATGTAGATATATAGTACTAAACACATGTGCATTCCGGTTGTTTTTGCTAGCACTCAAAGACCGCAAACGAAAGCAAGTATATTGGTGAACATGAGTATACCGTTGGTGGTGTACGCAGTTGTATATCTCTTGCGTACCCGTGCCTGTACACTTTTCTTTGCAAATATCGTTCACATAATCCTTTCTCCTTTGTGTACAAGTACCACTCGCGCTCAACATCATCATCACCTGAACGTCTTCTACATCACCTCATAATGCCTCAGCACGTCGTGAGTGTGCGCAAAGGCACAGCCATCAGCAAGGAGATCAAAGAGTGGACACCTAAGAACAGCCAACGAAATGTGCGATACTGGATGTGCATCGAAGATCCCTTCGAGACCACCCACAACCTGGGACGCGTGGCAGATCGCAACACGTGAGTTCAGTTTGCTATATATCTATATATATTATGTGTGTATGTATGTATGTATGTATTTATATTATATGTATTTGCGTATGTACGTATGTATGTATTCGTATATTATTAAATTATATGTATGTATGTATTCGTATATTATTAAACTATATGTATGTATGTATATGCAAATGCGTGTGTATGTATTATATTTTAATGTATGTTATGTATTTGCGTATGTATGTATATGTATATACAAATGCGTGTGTATGTATTTTATTAGATAGTATTTTGTATGCTTTTCTGTATTGGGACTTGTCAAATTGTATCTCGTAAGTTTGCTTGTATAATTATTCTTTCCTCATATCTTTTTCGCGTTTAAACTGATATCTTCGTTTCTGCTATAATAGCTTGTACGACATCCGCGGGGAGTTTATGAGAGCCTCGCGAGTGCTGACCTCAGGCGGCACCTTAGATGATCTGTGTGCTATGTACGAGGACACCAATCCCAAAGAGAAACATTCAAAGTAAGTACATCATTTCACAATACAGATGTAAACAGCTACGCAGGACATCCTCATGAGTTCAAGTGCTGATACGGCTTATGCATTGTCTCTAGGTCATCAGTAGTAATAGATGGAAGAGTTTTCGAATTAGTCTCTTGTCTGCTTTTCATACACTATACCGATTGATTTAGAGTCTTTGTTTGAATATATATATTTATATTTTGTATGCTTGAAATATGGATTATAATCAACCAATTTTCATAGTGGCATGGATTCATCATCCTTTCTCACTTCTCTGCCACGGCTTTCTGTCCTATTTTCACCTTACAGCCGTGACAGAGACGGTAAACTATCTAGTAAACGGGCCAACGAACGCGCAGGCATATCCTCGCACTCGCCCAACCGAAATTTGGACAGGGGCAACGCCTCGGCTAATCAGAACTCGCCCCAGCGAGGCATCCGCAACAACAACTCATCTCACGCCCACGGCCAGAGATCCGCCTCACTAAACAGTCACGATGTGCAGAGAAGTGAACGTGGCAGTCGGTACAATAACAACGCTCAAAGAGGAGGTGACAACATCGGCGAAGGCGGTGATAGAGGTTCCAGGGACCGCGACAACCGAGATCGCGTCGGCAGTAACAGCAATCTGAGCGTCCGCGGATATTCCACCGGCAAGGGAAGCTCCAATCCTAATTCACACCACAATTCACCACTCATGACTTATGGATCGGGTTACAAAGGTGGAAATGGGGGTGGGAATTCGTATAATAACAGTTCGGGGAATCCAAATTACCATGGCAATAATCCCAACAGTAACAAAACTAGTAATTATAATCCGGCTACGGGGGGGCCGGGCAGTAACAGTAACAATAGTAACAACCTCAATAATAACAGCAATGTCGGTGGGTATAATCAACCTGCCCGCGGTCGGGGAGGCGGTTCCAATGGGCCCAGAGACAGAGATCGAGACAGTGGTAGGGATAGGGACGGTAGGAATAACAACCAGTCCTCTGGGGTGGGTGTAAGACAGGTCAATGGATACGAACAGCACTCGCAGTTGTCACGAGAGTTCCGATCGAACGGCCGCGAACTCCGTGGCAGCGGTGACGACGAGGGCGACCATGACGGTGCGACGAGAGAGCGCAAACAGCACACTATGCAGCGCCCGGTAAGAGGACTGTAGCATATCACGCATTTATTTTACCATTATTATTTCTTACTTGTGCGTGTTGTTCTGGCTCTGGCTTGCCACTGAGTCTTGATCTAAACGTGTGAAGTAACACTTATTTTTTTAGTTAAAGCCTCCGAATTTTGATCAACTTACGCACCCAATTAAAATACTTCTCCGCCACCCTTCTCGTCGTTACAGAAGCGTAAACCTGGGCAACACAGCACCCATCGCCAATACCCGTCGGAGTCTAAGGCGCACCAGAAACACGCTGAGATGTGATGTGCTCACACTCCAATATCAGAGTCCCGCCGAATACAATGCATTCCACGCATTCACGCTTATGAAAGTGGGTGTTCTGCTTGCTGCCTTGTCTTTTTTTCGCCATACTATACTAGCATAAGATGAAGTATTGTATGGAAATCCAGTTAGGATACCAAGGCGTCGATTTTTTTTCTGTCCTGCTACGCGCAACAAAATGTAAGCATACACTATCATATGCACATTCAATGGAAGAATCACTTATTACTATATATACCTATATATCTACACTGCCGATACCTACCATTTACGTACTACGTACTCAAAAAAAATATCAATTTGCACGAATCATGCATGCGTTAGTCCCGCGAGTCATCTCCGTTCACACACAAAAAATGGAAATCATATCATTTTCGCGCTAAGTTTCGTTACCTTTTGTTGCTTTGTGGTTGCCAAGCGATGCCGGAGTGAATCCTCCACCGCTACGCAATAAAGGGGTCCACCTATTTTCGTACTATGTAGATGTATTCCATCACCATAGTCTTAGAGCGATATGAACTGAAGTATGAAGAGATAAGATCAAGAGAACCGGGTTTACACGCCCAAGATGTTGAAAATGACCGCCCATTCAGCAATAAAGCGAATAATCTAGTTGGGATATGATTTTCAGCTATCATTTATTCGGTGTGGGCCAGTAAACCCATCGTAGCCGCAGTATCAAATAGTTGGTGATTGTGCTGTGAGTGAAATTGCCAATATGCTGTAAAGCGCTTACTGTTTCGAAAGTTGAGACGTCGTGGGGGCTTTGCTGTAGAACTAATTTAAACTATATATCTTCGTATTGTATACGAGATACGGCATATATATATATGGCAGACAGTAATTTCAAGTCATTTACAAGTTACGAGGTGCCCAGCATATATAGTAACCGTATGTAGGTAGACGACAAGTTGTGCGCATATTAACGGATCAATGGATCAACAATGAAGGCAGCAAAATTCAAGGGGCGCACGCGAAACCTGAAGAATCCCAGCACGTATCCTTAGATAGGCTACAATATTATACGAACCCAGAAGTTGAATACTAGACTATGCTGGAGGTACTGAGGTGAGAGTAAGGAACAGGTTTCGAGGAATTGTTGTAGTAATCTCTTAGGTTGTTTCGCCTTTCGGGTACTTGAACCTATTGCTAATTTCCTATTTCTCAACAAGTTGCCTTCGTAAGGACTCGTAAGTCATCATTTTGGCACTAACGCCAGTCCGATTCAGAAAGCCTTAAACGGTTTTACAATTGAATACGTGGGGTGGGTATAAGCTGTAGTTTGTTTATATTGCCTACGGTACTAGAACCATGAATGCCGTTTTCGTACCATGGTCGTATGGTGTCACATTAATAGCAGTAGGTAGATGTCTGCATCTTCACACCGTCTGATTTATACGCTCCGCAAATGCACATCCTGTGTAAATAAATATCTAAGTAAATACATACTACATTTTGTCCTATAGCTCTAAATATACGAGTTGGAACTATATAACCTTTTTTTTGAAATTCTTACAGATGATCCGATGATGTGATGTAAGAGGCGGCTATGTCCACACTGATAAAAATAAAATAAATAATCGTAAGTCATACATAAACATGTAGACTCATCAGAGTCAGAAGGCAAAGTATGCCGTCGATTATGGTAAATAAATCCGTTTTAAAATAATCTAATACAGTATGTACATGTAAATATAATGAACACTCTGTAGGAATTTGTGGCAAAAGGTTACGACGTAGTCGAACCTTTCCCGATCTTGCAGTGATATTCCCACAGACTGTTATGCTCGCTTAGTGTATCCCTCATCACTTTGCGATATGCACAGTCTTTAGCTGTTGAGTGCCTATACAGAGGCACTCATACAGGGTGGTAAGATCACTACCGTCAGGGTCAGAGTGCCGATATTGTCTCTTGCCGTTGCCTACTAACCGCTCGCACCCATACAACTCAAGATCATTAGGCCGTGGAGAGACGTTAAGGCTGGTGGATCTGTCATCCTTGCTTTCACCTTAGCTTTTTCTGCTCCGGATTTAAACCAATATCCCATGTATGCCCGTGACTTCCATTATACGGCGGCAGCGATTTCACCTGGTTCAGCGCCGGCGTCCTTGAGCGCAGTGAGACCACCAATGCGACAACTGTGGCCTCTGTATCCCTTCATGTCCAGGTTTGCTGCGGCAATGGCTTCTTTCATGTCCCGTTTGAATTCGTTTTTACTGCATGCGATACTCTCAATTGAATATAGATGATTTGTATTTTGCTCTGATGATGTGAGTATGAGCCATGATTACAAAGCCCGTACCGGGCATCTATTGGGTCTATGTGGTTGGCGTGGTATGCTGATATCTGACGGTACTAGACACGTCTTAGACATGGATAGGCGAAATACAATATGCAAATCTTCATGTGCAATACCTCCCCGTGAAACGTGTACGTTTGCGTTATAAACTTCGTTGTATCCTCTACTGTGACTTCGGATATACGCAGGATGCCGAATATAGCGACACGTGTGGTCGCCCAAAATCTGATCCAACGTCACTGATTTAGGACCGTAGTGCGGGAGTAGACACGTCTTAGACATGGGTAGGCGAAATACAGTTTGCGAATTTTCATGTAAGATACCTTCCCGTGAAACGTGTACGTTTGCGCTATAAACTTCGTATGTATCCTCTACTGTGATTTAGGATATACGCAGGATGCCGAATATAGCGATACATGTGGTCGCCCAAAATCTGATCCAACGTAACTGATTTAGGAATGGGCGTAGTGCGGGAAATAATACCTGCTCCTGGAGATCGGGTGTTGTTGGTAGCTGCAATTTTTCGTTCACTGTGTGACACGAGTGAGTGAATAGGTTCCGGCGCTCTCCTCATGTTTTCGGCGCTCTGCCTGCCTCTGCTTGATTCCACCGTTTGATTGCCAACGTGCTTCAGTCCTGTTAAGAATTTTATTTTATTACTATTTTCTTTATTCTGCTTTATCGCTTCCTAGTCAGTATTTCCCCCTGTCAATTTTGGTAGTGCATTCGCTACTTCGTTGTAGTATACGCCTATCGTCGTGCAACGCGCGCTGTCCATATTTTATTTCTAGACTAGAGAACTGCAACCTAGGTTCACCCTGCAGACTGCTCGCACTGTTGCGTTAGAGCCACAATATCCCAATCGTCATGACGTCCGCGCGCTACTCCGGCGACCGCACTCCATACAAGCTCCGAGACCATGATGCAGTGCCTATTGCTACCTGGATCAATCGGATTCGAGACTTTATTGCCACGAAGCCCTTCCGGATGTTGGGCAAGGCCACTGGCAATGAGCGTTCCCCGCAGCTCTCGAAGCTCCTGTCCTTCTTGGACAATTCGATCGTTCTCCAAGTCGAACGGTTCTTCAAGAGGGACACCACACCCGAAGACTTTCTCATGATTATCATGCGAGAGTTCGGTCCCATGCGCAACATTTTCCTGGAGAAAGGTGAAGAATCCCAAGCCATGCAGATTGCCTAGAGCCTAGCGGGCCAATGTCCGAACGACCGCCACAAGCGGATCCTCTGGGTCCGTGAGTGGGTGGAGATTACACCCCGGGCATGTATCGCCCTTCGCTGGTACTTGATTGAGTTAGAAAGTTCCCAAGTCCAGCATCCCTCTAAGGTCATGGCGCTCGGTATGCACGCCTTTGCGTCTCCAGCCAAGCAAGCCCCATACACCGCGGACTTGCGCCAAGCCTTCTCGACCAGTGTGCCCAGACCCGCCAGTCTGAAACCCAGGTTGGTACTCAACCACTCATCCACCCCTCTCGGAAGCACCTTCCAGCCCCTGCCCAGGAGGTTCCACCACCGGCCACTAGGCCCCCGAAGCCTAATTGGTCCTTTCCGTTTCTCAGTGTCTCGTCACCAGTGGGTGATACGGAACCAGCAAGATGCTTACGATCACCAAGGTCGTCGCAAGCTCTACGACGATGGCTTAGTATGGGATATAGTCACCAAAGAATGGATCCCCAAGCACTCCGGCAAGTTTTATCGGAGCCCCCAAACAGGGGCGTGGCATGCGTTCAACGATCACCTGGAACCACCACCTGTAAAAGAGGTGACGGACCAGATGCTCGAAGACCACTTGACGGAGTGTGCAGCTGCAGACTGTACCTCCGTGCATGCCTTCCTCTACCCGTTGGTGTCTGGCACCTATTACGGGCCAAAGATGTTCGACGTCCTCCGGCGCAACCCGGACCTCATCTCGAATATGGTCAAGAATATTCACGCCAAGCAGCTCAGCTTCTTTGACGAGGCACTCTCCGAAATGGAGCAGTCCGCCTTTAACTTCCTCCACAATTCGCGAGGGCCGCATCTTTTTTGAGGATTCGAACCTCAGAGGGTATTCGAACTCCAACGTGGCATATCATATCCAGTGTGAACGCCGTGAACGGGAACAGTTCAACAAGGGGCGTGACTACGAGCGTCGCCGCGAATCCGGCCCCTCGCCACGAATCTGGTGCAGAGCCTCGAACTTCACGCCCACCTTCCGTCCCCAACGACCCGCCCCAAGACTTCGACATGGTCATCCGCGGACCGACGCTCACGTTCGCGAGATCCTGAACGCTCCCGTTCCCGCTGGGTTCCTCGTACCCCAGGCCGTTCCCCTGCGAGAGATATAACCAAAGTGAAATGTTGCTCGTGCCAGAAGTATGAGCACTATAGTGACGCGTGCCCTGACAAAAATTTCACGGGCACACTTGTGATGGCCGAGTGATCCCTCGCGGGACCCATTGTTCAAGTGAATGTCTTCCGTGTCTTGTGCTACGCCGACAACGGCGCTATTCCTAATTTGATATCCAAACAGCCAGTTCTAGAAGAAGCACTTGATGTAGAAATAATAAACTCAAGTGCTCGTTCGGAGGCGCGACAATGGTCCACCAACCTCACAGTGTACACTACCTATCTACTTGAAGTACACGACAACAATAACAGGAAAACGTACCTGACCACACAGGGAGTCACCTTCCTGGTCACTCACGACATCCCCATGAACTGTAGCGTTTTGGAGACATATGCTGACATTGCCTGGCGGCATAACATCCGCCTGCGGCCGTCCAAAACCCAGCTAGTGGTTCTGCGCAGCATGCCTATTATATACAAGGACGAGATGATTATCACACCAAATCACCACGACCTGAACGCCTGGACCGATCACCTGCCTATGCTCACCTACTTTGCGCCATTGATGGTGTTTCCTAAAGATACGAGAGGGAACCGCCTTTTGCGCCTAGTCCAGAAAGTCTGGACGCATTCGGTCTACCTCCGCCACATCCCGGGCGACTTTAGTTATTGTGCTGACATGCCATCGAGAGGGCCTCGTGCCCTGGATCCACTCTTAGATTACGTCCAGAAGCGAGTGGCCTGGGCCACGCCCATCCACCATCCCCCACCGGTCACGGTCGCGGCACTCACAGTGGCCTGCACAACCTACACTGAAGAACTCCTCCTCAACATAGTGTGGTTCAACCTTGCCGTCGCTACCTTCGGCAAGCCCGTGTTGGACTTATACGCCAGTGCAGTTTGCCACCAGCTCCCCAAATACGCCGCCCTCGACGGTGGAACCATTGGGTGTGTGGCCAATCAGGTTGACCTCTCCCACCTCTATGTATACGCCAACCCGTCTTGGCGGAAATTCCCCTCCTTCTTCCCCCGGTTCACTGCGGCCGAGCAAGCTACAGCCATCGTGGTGCTCCCCTTTTGGCCTACATCACCCTGGCTCCCTACCTTCTTCTACCACTTGGTGGCGGAACCCATCATCGATACCCACACCACGGACACGTTCCTCAAGCATGGGACGGAAGAGCTTGGCCTTTCACCGTAGGACTACAACCTCATTGGGAAGCTCTCTAGTACAACTCCAGAGCCCATCCCTCTCCCCGTCACCTTCCGGTCCCAATTGGGACGTGTTGGCCCGCCCCCCGGCCGGACTGAAGAACCCGCTGACAGGCCTTCTACCAGTGATGACTTTATTCCCAGCCCGCCCTCAAACCCTGAGCGACGAGGAGCCTACGCCACAACCTACTCCAGGCGCTCTCCGAGCGGCCTTCGATGCCCCGAGGAAGCGGAAGTGGCCTAAGCGCCGCCCCATGCCCCTTGACGACCCTACAACCCCTCCAGCACAGCCACCTCCCACCCCTTCACAATCCTTGGAACAGGACCCACCAGCCCCATCACCATCGCACCCAACTATAACGGAAGGGGGAGGGGGGGGGGGGGTCAGCCCTCAGCATACGGCCGACCCAGGGCAGTATATGCCAGGCGCGCCTACTCAAGGGTTGAGTCCCGCAGAGATGAGGGCTAACGTCCAGGCTGACCCTGCGAGCACACCACCATTCCCTCAGGCATCCTGTCTTGATCCGTTAGATACAGACGAAGCGGACGACCAACCACTAACCCCTGAAGAAGCCCACCACCAATTGGCACGATACCCCTACATGTTCCAACAAGAGCCGGCGATTGAAGTCACGGCGGACGAACCAGTCCGACCACTGGGCACCATCCCTCCCGCACCGCTCCCCACCTGTCTGCACACCATCTCCGCTACACCGCTGAGAGATCAACCAACAACGCGCACGGTTGTGGTTCGTACCGTAGAGCCAACCCGTCCCTGAGAATTTTTCAACT